CCTTTGTGGTTAAGTCCCTGTTAACTTGGCTTATCAGAAGGTTGCAAAAGGGGATCACACGACCCTGGGACGCTGCGACCGTCATAAATATGAGTCAGCTGCCGAGTGTCCTAATTTTGATCATGTGACCGGGAGATGCTGCAACGGTCATAAGTGTGAAAAAGGGTCATAAAGTCAATTTTTTTCAGCGCTGTTGTAACTTTGAACGGGCACTAACGTTCAGAATGTTATTCTGTCATAATATTTTCTCATTACATTCAGGGGAATGTTTTATCTGGTTGAAAAACAACACAACTCCAGGATGACCTGAATATTCCTTGCTCGGTAGCAACTAATTCACAACCGCCTGAATCTGATGGACGCAACATCAGAGGAATTTTAAAGCCGAACTGGGCTCAGCTAGTTTCCTGTGTTTAAACCCCCAGACTGGTTGACATAAACAATGTTTGGATTTAAAAGGGCTCCCAAAAAATTTTTGCCTCCCCTCTCCCCAGGAGTTAGCATCGCTAGCCTCCCAACGTTCAGGCTGGAATTTAACAGCCTGAAGCCTACACCAACTTTTCTTACAACCCGACACCTGGACCCAGTTAGTGGCACAGGAATAGGCAGGCCAGTCCAAAAGAAAGGGAAGTGAGAGGCATTTTTAAAGGAGAGCTAAAGAAAATAAGCAAAAGGAAAAAAAGAAAAGAAAAGAGGAGGGTGGGGTTGTTGAAACGAAAATTAAAAAGGTAGCAAGTCAGATGACGCGTGTCTGGGATGGATGGATGGATCGAGATCCAGATTAATTTGTTTGGGTGGAGGGAGGTGAAAACACACCACATTGTTCTCTCTCTCTCTCTTTTTCCTTCTAATTTTGCCCTTTTCTAAATGGAAACCATACAGCTTCTCTTCGCCAGAATGAGCCCAGAGTTGTTTGCTACGAGATGGGTGGCAAATAAATTCAATAAATATATAAAAGAAAATGAGCAGTCCTCCCGTGGAGTTTTGCTGAAACGTCCCGATGATTGTCGCCGTTTACCTTCCGTCCTCTGGGCAGTTTCTCTGAATCTAGGTCTGTCCTATGCTTGTTAAATAAGGAGAGAGCAACTTTTAAAAACTGGTTTAAGCTGTGATGCAAATGCCGCTTTCCAACAAAGCCGTCTCAAAATATGGCCAAGAAACTGCGAGATGACACATGCCGCCACGTTGTCTCAAGCACCCAAATGGTGGTCAGGTGGCCACGGGGTCCCTTTATTCCAGCCCATTTTTCTCCATGTCTGGGGGTAAGTCAAGGTCTACCTCTACATGCCTTGCATGGGGTCCTTGGAGTTGGATCAAGACTGTGGGATTGTGAGTGTGGCTTCAAAAAGGAGCAGCTTCCACACCTCTGATGAAGCTTGCAGGCTTGAAGGTTTCCAACAAGGTTTTGACTGAGTTGGACAAGGACCTGGATCTCCTCTAGGTTTGCCAGGAGCAAATACCAGAACAAGCAAAGGTGGTGTCTCGCCTGCAAAGACCATCTCGGTTTCTAGAAGGAGCGAATGTTGTTTTTCTCAAGCTGGGGAGATCATGGAGGTTATGTTTATTCTGGAACCTGACGTATACACGGGAAGGTCCTTCAAGACAGAAGGGGCCTTCCTCCAACTTGTACAAATAAACCCAGAAAGATTGCGATTGGGCAGCTAAAATCTCCAAAACTCATCCGGGCATTCTTTTGCTCCAATTTCTCTGTTTAAGCTGAGTTCTCTGAGCATCATTTCTGCAGAATGGTTTAAATAAAATCCAGGGCTTTCCCGCCCCGATCTCTACATTGTAAAAAAGATTATAGATGAAACTAGGTAGCAGATTAAAACTTGGATCCCCAGGAATTTAATAATAATGTCTGTAAGTGCCCATGCAGAAGGCAACCGGTTTTGTCGTCCTTCATCTTAGAGTGCACTAGCAAGATGAAAATCAGAAAAGACGTCACTTAAAAGTGAGGAGGATCTTCCTAATCCTCTTAGACAAGGCCACTGAATGTCATAGAACCAAGACCTGGAAGGGATCTCAGAGGTCTTCTAGTCCAACCCGCTGCTTTAGGCAAGGAGACAATATACCATCTTGGTCAAATAACTGTCCAGTGTATTTTTGAAAACCTCCAATGATGGAGCACTCACAACTGCCAGAGAAAATGGATTAATTGTTCTCACTGTCAGGAAATTTCTCCTTAAATCAAGGTTGGATCGCTCCTTGATAATTTTCCATCCGTTGCTTCTTGTCCTGCCTCCCATTGTACATTCTACTCCTTCATTGCAGAAGCAGAACATCTGATTTTCCATTGTAGCTTCTAATAAATGAATAAATAAGAGGTTTTCCTGTCATGTGTGATTCCTTATTCATTCTTTTATAACCATATCCAGATCATCAGAGGATTTAATTATTATGTTACACGGTTTTATGTGTAACAATAGCCAAGTTCCATCTCAAGATTAATCTTGCAGTAGCTATTACAGAAATGGGGCAGTCTAGTTTTCTTGGGAACTAAATTATCTGGATAGGCAGTCATAAGAGGGATGGAGGGAGGGAGGGAGGGAGGGAGGGAAAGAAGAAAGGAAGGAAGGAAGGAAGGAAAGAAGAAAGGAAATATCTAACATAGATTGTATCTAGTCCCAGTGTAAACAGGCAGGTTTTCCTTTAGGCTAAATTAAATTCAGGAGATTAAGTTTCCATTTCTAGAGGTTCCAAATGCGCTGTTGCTTTTTAGCCCTACAAAGGCAAAATGGACCAGCTACAGTTGTGAAATGGCTGACCTCAACCGTACAGAATGTTACAGGAGGAACACACCCGTCCGTGTGATGACTACCTCACTGACGGAATGAATGACGCACGGGCCAATCTGACCAGCTTCCATTCTTCCATCTTTTTCAAAGGAATTATCCCTCCCCAGTTTTACGATGGTTTGCTGTCGATAGTCCAAAGCATTATCCATTTTACAAGTGGGATGCTGTTAGGGGAAGCCAGTGCAATATCTTGACATGTGCATAAAAGATGAAGCCAGGAAATTTTCCATCCCCAATGTAAAATTGATACAGAAAATATGATATTGGCTACAAACACGATTAGGGAAATGTCTGGCAAATAAGCAAGGCTTGAGTGTTGCGGAGAAGAAATTCTTATCTAGTTTACCTCCACTCAGAAAGGATGGATTTTTTGTAGATAGATAGATGGATGGGTGGGTGGGTGGGTGGTGAATGGGTGGGTGGGTGAGTGGGTGGGTGAGTGGGTGGGTGGGTGGACGGACGGACAGACGGATGACAGAGATAGAAATAGTGATATAGAGATAGATATAACACACACACACACACACACATATATAACTACACACGCAAACATATATGTATGTCTGTATGTATAACATCTGCCTAACATGCAGATAGCCCAGGTTTGAATCTCAGAAGAGTAAGTTTGGCTGAAGAGAGTTAAAGGAACTCGAAATAGCTATACCATTCTCTCTTTATTCTTTGTTAGCAACCTAATAATGTATGTCTGTAGGTATGTATACACATACACATATATACACACATACACATATACATGTGTATATGAAAGCGTCACTAAATTTGACAAATGCTTTCATAAAAATCACCCTATACTAATCTACATAGCCACTGAGACTAATTAGTTGGTTAGCGTTCATAGTTTGGTTTTTTATTTGATTTAATGTGCTGCTGACAGCCACACTTTACATAAAATTGGCAGACAACACTCTAACGTAAATGAACGCAATGCAGGGACGAAGAGCAGGACGCCGTGTGCAGTCAATTCCCCCAGAGTGGGACGCGGAGTTTCCCACGCAATCAGTGTGAGGACTTTCCCTCTTCCAAAGACCTGTTGCAAAGGACTACTAAGGGGAAATTTCCTGACAGATAATTTACCAGTGGAACGGCTGGCCTTCAGAAGCTGTGGGTGATCCTGTCCCACTTCAGACAAATGACCGTCCCGCCTCTTCTTGAAAAGCTCCAGTGATGGAGCACCCACATTTTCTGGAGGCAAGAATAACCTTGGAGGTCTGCTCAAGCAGGAGACCCCAGACCATTTCAGACAAGTGGCTGTCCAGTCATTGAACAATTAATCAGTGGAACGTGTTGCCTTCAGAAGTTGTGGATCCTTCACCACTGGAGGGAGTGGACACCCAAAACTATAAAGGACAGAATAAATGAGCAACTGCATTGGGAGTCTTTAAAGGCCTTCACCTTACTGTAAAGTAGAATAATCCCCATTACTACCCACTAATAGAATTACCAATAAAGGAGAATATTTGTAGAGTGGAAAGGAGGGATCCTTGGTGCTCTCTGAGCTGGGTGGTTTTCTTGCAGACGTTTCCTGACCCAACTAGGTAACATCCGAGCACTGATGAAGTTCCCTGGTTGGGTCATGAAACGTCTGCCAGAAAATCACCCAGCTCAGAGAGCAACAGGGACCCCTCACTAATAGAATTTCTCCACTGGTTCCACACCTGCCTTTTTGTTTTTTTAAATGCATCTGACCAACATAGGCAGGATTTATCCTTCAAACTTGGTGCTCACCATTTCAACCAGCCCTTGGGCTAAATACGAAATACAGAAGACACTGAACTTCATCCACAGCGCCTATTCTGGATATTTGACAGCATCTTTGCAAAGGCCGGTTGGGATCTGTTCTCCCTGATTCCCACCGTCTGAATCACAGTCGCCCCCCCAAAGTCCTCCCCCCCAAAGATTTCCCTCCCCTCAATGCCCCCGAATCTGTGATCCCCAGAGCGTGTTGGGCGCTGGATAGCAGAGCAAGTCAGGAGACCTCCAAGGAGGGGCAGCGCGTTCCCATGAGCCCCTTAAAGCTTTTGCGCAGGGGACCCCCCCCGGTCTCTGGGAGGGGGCAGGCTCCCCAAAGAGCCCCCAGGCAAGAGCCCTTCCCTCCCACAGGAGCCCTTCCCGTCTCTTCCGCGTCTTCTGCCCCTTCCCTTTGCCCGGGACTCGCCAGGACGCGCGTTCCGACGTGCTCACCTTCCCGCAGCGCGCCTCCTCCGCCTCGTCCTCCTGCTTCGCTGCCGCTGCTGCCCCCGGAGGGCTCGAAAGCCCCCTTGCCGCCCTCCCGAGCCTCCGCGCCGCTTTCCCGGGGCGTCCCGTTCATGCCGACGGCCGCTTCCTCCAGGTCCAAGAGGTGGCTGACGCTGAAGTTCTTGCGCGCCTGGGGGTTGTCTGCAGGCTCCAGGATCCGGACCGGGTTGGGGACGAATTGCTTGTCCATCCCGAAGGCGGCCACCGCTTCCATCGCGCCCGGATCCAGCTTGTGGGGCAGAAGACCCCCGCCCGGCCGGCCGGCCAGGAGCTGCGATCTGGCGAGCCTCCCTTGGCTCCCCCCAAAGCAACTCACCGGCCCCCCCAAAAACTTTCCCCTCTGCTTTGATTTCCACCCTCCCCCCCTTTCTTCCTCCTCCTACGTTTCCCCGGTGGGGTGTGCGCGTGTATGTGTGTTTGTGTGGGCCTGCTTCTGAGGGTGTGTGGGAGTCCTTATTATATTCCGTTTCTTTCTTTCTTTCTTTCTTCCTTTCTTTCTTTCTTCCTTTCTTTCTTTCTTTCTTTTTTTCTTTCTTTCTTTCTTTCTTTTTCTTTCTTTCTCTTTCTTTCTTTCCTTCCTTCCTTCCTTCCTTCCTCTTTCTTTCTTTCTTTCTTTCTTTCTTTCTTTCTTTCTTTCTTTCTTTCTTTCTCTCTTTTTGTTTCTTTCACTCTCTCTCTCTCTGCAGGTCTCTCCTGTGTAAGCTTGTGGACCAGCGAGAGAAAGAACTTCTCCAAACTTTTTACTCAGGATCTATCCCCCGCTCACCCCCCATCCTCCCCAGCGCACCGTCGCCACAGCTCCAGAAAACTTCCCTTGGGTCAAAAGTTGGAACCAAACTTTGTTTTTTTCTATCCAAGTTGAAATTGACCCATCCCCTGTCGCTGTGCTGTTTTCGCCTGAAACTGACTGACACAGCCCTTCTTGGAGTCCATAAACTTCCTCAGCCGCCTTCCCCCTCTTTCGCCTCCCCTCAACCTGCCCTTCTCCCCATTTCAACTCCCCCTCCCAATTTGGAAAGAGGAAGAGTTAAATTAGAGGAAAGCCAACCCACTTATTGAGTTTAAAATATATATATGGGGGGGGCGAGAAGAGAGAAATTCCTTCTTTGCATCCTTTCCCCTGGACCCCGCTGTCTGTCCCCCCCCCTCATAAAATTGGGCTGCCTTGCACAACCTTATGAAATCAAATCCACGGACATTTGAAACTTGCAAATTTCCCAGAAGGAAAACAAAACCAACCCCCCCCAAATATATATATATAATAATAATAACCAAGAAAAAATGGACCTCAAGGGCTTATAGCAAATTGTCTCCCCCACAGGGGTGGTAACAGGGCAGCATCTGTTTCCCTAAATGGGTCACTTTTCAAGGGCGGAGCTATGCAGATGAAGGGGGCAGTCTTATCCAATTAGGAGCCGCCATCTTTCAATGCAACTTTTTAAACTTCCCTGCTATATAAAAAGTTTTCAAAAAAATAAATACCTCTTTGTGTCCTGTTGTTTTTAGGACAACGGTGTGGCTATGGTTTCCTGGATTCCTTCTGGATTGATTTTTTTTTTTTAATTTTCCAGCCAACTCAACAGCTTTAAGATCGCCTGGTGGTCTCTTATCCATAAAGGAGAAAAGCAAATGGTTGAATTAGAATATCAACAAAATACACATAAGATCATTTCAATCAGTTTCCTATTTTCTTTCCATCTCTGAAAGATAAACAAACAGAAATCAAAACTTTTGAGGGAAACTTACTGTAGTCCTCAACTTACAATTATTCTTTAGTGACTGTTTGTAACTTTGAATGGTCTCTAAACAAATGGTTGTAAGTTAAGGACTACCTGTAGTAGAAAATTCACTGAAACTTCCAGAGAAAAAGTTGCTAAACTTTCTTTTCCTAGTTTTTTTTCCCCCACAAGAGAGGGCTGCAAGCATTTCATGGGGAGGTGAGTTCCGAAGATGGGGAGCCATTGCTTTAAAAAGCGCCTTCCCACCAGCCTAATGATGAGAGAAAATAGCAAAACCTCAGTAGATAATAGTAAAGTCTAAGAAAGCTTGTAAGCGTTCTTTCAAATAACCCAACCCTGAAAAAACAAACAAACAAGGATGGTGAAATCAACAGGGCCAGGAAACTGGAGTTTCTTCTAGCTTTCAGCCCAATGCTCTCAATCTGTTAGTGTTCGATCCTGTGGGCCACTCCGGAAAAAGAGTGTTTGGCTCTTAAAGGCCATCATCAACGTGTCTTGAGAAGGTCCCAAGAGACCACCAGGCCAGCCCTGAGGAAAGGTGGAAGTTCTCCAGAACTCTGCTCCAGGTCAGGGGCCAGGCAGAAATAAAACAGGCAGCAGCCATAGGTCTCTCCCCCTGAGGGCCGGCTCAGGATCTGCCCGGACCTGACCTCTGACACCAGGGCCAGAATTCAGCCGTGTGGGGTAGACCAGCCGTAGCATCAGAAAGCCTCAGGACACTTCGGTTGGGGTCTCCAATCAGAATCGCTTGAGAGAGACGGTGGCTCTGAAATTTACCTCAGAAGGCGACAGTCGCCAAACGCTTTGGTTCTGAGGATAAAAGGTAGAAGAGTCAAGCTCAACTTTAGCGTATAATGTGTTGAAGGTCTCCTCCTCCTCCTCCTCCCCCTCCTTTCTCCTGATAATTGGCCCAAAGTCACCCTGCCAGTTTTCATGCAAAGGAAGGACTAGAACTCACCATCTCCTGGTGATTGGCTTAGAGTCACCCAGCTGGCTCCCTTGCTTAAGGCGGGACTAGAATTCACCATCTCCTCCTGGTGATTGGTCCAAAATGACCGAGCTGGCTTTCAGGCCTAAGGAGGGATTAGAACTCATTTTCTCCTGGGGATTGGCCCAAAGTCACCCAGCTGCCTTTCATCCCAGGACTAGAACTCCCAGTTTCTAGCTGGGCGCCTTACCCACTAGATGCTCCTTTAGGGTCCCTCCCTTCTCTCAGTTTCTCTGCCAGCAGAAGGCAGTCTGGGATGGGAGGCCAGCCAAGGTTGGGAGGGGGGAGAGAGACCCCCAAACACATCTGAGTAGCTGCTCAGGGCGTTAAAAGAACGACCTGGAGAGCATAATCAAGTCTCGATTCTCCCCATGGATGCTCAAGTCTGTTGATTGCTGGTATTTGGAAAGTGAAATATGAGTGTTTCATTTTTTATGATCAAAGGAGAGCCCAGTTCTAAAGCAAGAGGGAGGGAGGGGTTGGCGGGTGGGGGGGGGGAAGAGAGATTAGGACTTGCTGATTTGGGAGGAGGGAGGTGGAAAGTTTCCTTGGCAGACGGCTAAAGTTTCTTTAGACACGCCAAGACGTATGTGCTCTGCGCCAGGGGAGCCCCAGAATTACCCCTGGACCTTTCGCACAGCTGGAACAGTAAGTCATTGAGAAAATTTTGGAGGTTGGAAGGAGGGGGGGGAGATTGGTAATCTCACAACGCCCTCCCCACCACAACCCCCTGCCCTGCCCTGCGGGTCAAGGTGGTGATTTGCAAAGTCAAATAAATAAATTAAACAAGCCGCATTAATGCCATTTCCTACCTCGTTCGGGTACTTAAAGGCACGGCGTAGAACCCCAGGGGGGTGGGGGTCTGCTTCTCCTCTCCCCCCTCCCTCTCTGCCCTATTCTTCTCTCCAGTTTCACAATTTAGATAGGATTAAATGCATTTAGTGCCCGTCTGGTTCTTTTTAAGAGGTCCCAGTTGTAAGGAAGAGTGTGCCGGGGTCTGTTCACAATTAAAGAGGATCAGGTGCTTTTATCTCTGTTTGTTGTCTCCTTCGATGGATGAAGGAAGGTATCAGTTTTGCATCAATAAATTTGCAGATAAGGAATAAGCAGCTGCTAACAAGCTTATCAGCCTTACACTGCAAGTACTAATTCATATATATATATATATATATATATATATATATATATATATATATGTGTAGGTCTTTGGTTGTTCGGGTTTTCTCCCGCGTAAAATTGGAAGTGTCTTGGCGACGTTTCGACGAAGTCCCATTCGTCATCTTCAGGCTGGTGTTTTCAGCTTTGTGCTTCAAGCACGAAGCTGAAAACAAAGCTGAAAACACCAGCACGAAGCACGAAGCACGAAGCACGAAGCTGAAAACACCAGCCTGAAGATGACGAATGGGACTTTGTCGAAACGTCGCCAAGACACTTCCAATTTTATGCAGGAGAAAACCCGAACAACCAAAGACCTACATACAAACACCCGCGAAAACCTCAGAAAACATATATATATAAAAACAATGAGAACAATTAACCAGTGGAACAGCTTGCCTCTAGAAGTTGTAGGTGCTTCATCACTGGAGATTTTAAGAAGAGACTGGACAGCCACTTGTCTGAAATGGGATAGAGTCTCCTGCTTGAGCAAAGGGCTGGACTAGAAGACCTCCAGGGTCCCTTCCAATCCTATTATTCTATGCTCAATGTTCCTCCCTCCCTCTATTTCTTTATCCACTCTCTGGTTCTTCAGTCCCTGAGTGGTGCAACTTGGTTTTTCTCTTCCTTTCTTCAGCCCTCCACCACCCTCATCACCCTCCAGCCGGTTACACTTTTGACCCCTTGTGTTCCATTTGCTCAAAGAGATGATCTGCAAGGTCAAACCAATAAATTTGCTTTATTTACACTAGAGGTTAAAGGAAGGTGTTCGCAGGACATGTCTCTCTCTCTCTCCCCCCCCCCCAATTCTTTACAGAGCGAGAAGAATATTTGGTGGGTTGGTCTTCTGTCAAAATCAGGAGGGGCAGGAAGGAGAAGAAAAGATATTCACACGATACACCCTGTGTGAAACAATTCTGAAATATTTGGAATGAAGCCCCAAAAGTGCTTTTCCAAAAAGCAACTTCTTCAGAGAAGCTTCTTGGGTGAGAAGTGAAACTTTTCAGAGAAAAAAAAAAAAAAACCAAGGCAGCCTAGTTGCCTTTTGGAAAAGCAACTTTAGGACACCCATGAGCTGGATGATGGGAGAATCTCCGTAGAAGTTTGGAAGGAAGCCTGTTTAGTTCAGACCAATATTGACCCCACACACCCAGCAAGGAAATAGATGATCTTCAAGCAAACAAATTCTACAAGGAGGAACTTTAAACTCTGCTACTTAGAAAAACAGACAAAGAAGATTAATGCTTTCAAATTGTGGGTTTAGAGATCATTGCTAAAAAGTTTTTTTTTTAAAGTTTATTCTACATTTTTTTAAAGTTTATTATTAAAAAAGATGCTGAGACTCCGGAAAGAGTGCAGACAAGAGCAACAAAGATGATTAGGGGGCGGAGGCTACGAAGAATGGTTGCAGGAATTGGGTAGGTCTAGTCTAGAGAAAAGAAGGACTGGGGGGGGACATGATAGCAGCCTTCCAGTATCTCAGGGGCTGCCCCAAAGAAGAGGGAGTCAACCTATTCTCCAAAGCGCCTGAAGACAGGACAAGAAACAACGGATGGAAACTAATCAAAGAGAGAAGCAACCTAGAACTAAGGAGAAATTTCCTGATAGTGAGAACAGTTAATCAGTGGAACAACCCATCTCTGGAGGGTCTCCAAGTGGGTGATTCTACAAATTCATTTTCTGGATATTCCAGTAAGTAGATTTCCTTCCAATCATAGGAGCTTCCTATCCACCAAAGATGGTTTCAGCCACCCCCCTTTTTTCTCTGTTGTTACCTCCCCCCATCTCTCTCTCATATATATATATATATATATATATATATATATATATATATATATATATATATATATCAAAGTCGCACATATTGAATCCAGATGTGTTCTTCTGCACACAAGCCTTCCAGCAATTTAATTAAATTTCCCCCAGACAGCCAGGAGGGGTTCTTAATGATCAAATTTCTCTGGACCCCTTCCTAAAGTGCCCCCTCCATTCCTTGCCTCCCTGGTGGATAGGTGATGGCTTCTCTCCAGGTCCAATCAATGTTAACCAAGGACTAACTTCAGCCTCCAATAATGTTTGGGTAAGAAAGGGAAGGGATGAGGAAGGGAAGGGAATCCAAATCTCATGAAGTATTAGTACCACTTTATCCTTAGTAAGACCACACCTGGAATACGGCATCCAGTTTTGGTCACCACGATATTAAAAAAAAGATGTTGAGACTCTGGAAAGAGTGCAGAGAAGAGCAAAGATGATCAGGGGACTGGAGGCTGAAACAGATGATTAACGGTTGCCAGAACTGGGCATATCTAGTCTAGTGAAAAGAAGGACAGTCTTCCAATATCTCAGGGGCTGCCCCAAAGAAGAGGAGGGGGTCAGCCTATTCTCCAAAGCGCCTGAAGGCAGGACAAGAAGCAACGGATGGAAACTGATCAAGGAGAGAAGCAACCTGGAAGTAAGGAGGAATTTCCTGTGGAATGGCTTGCCTCCAGAATGTGTGGTTTGCCACCAGGTTTTCTAGCTTTGTATAAATAAAAAGCTTCTTGTTTAGCAACCATCATCACACATTCTGTCAGTGACTTTCCCCGAAATGAGATTTCACTTGATTTTAAGAATTAGCTCTGTTAAATGGCGAGGTTGAGGGAGACGGGAGAGAGAAAAGGAAAGATGGGTCCCTGGGAATTTTGCAAATTTTTGCCTAGGTAGGCACAAGGGATCAAAGGGGGTGTAGGGGGGGAAGGGCGAGCCCTTCTCTGAGAGAGGAAAGCTAATAAAGTCAACTTCAACTAGGCTTTATAAATTGCAAACAGATGGCCCAAATAATAGTGAGGTTTTTGAAAGGGGAAAACTTCTGCACGCCGTGTCAAAGGGCAGATTAATTTCTCAAGATAAGAAACTGCTAAGTGGGAGGGGGGAGTGTCCCCAAAGATACCCCATTCCAAGAACATTGCAATCATTCAACAGCCAGCATTGCTCAGAAAAGTCTCCAGCCGTTTCCTCTGCCAGGTTGGTTGCTAAACTCTGCCCCGTTTCTGATTGTGGAAAGATTTTTCAGTGTAAATGTAAATGAGGATGAAAAGAGGAGATATCCAGAAATCTATCTATTTATCTGTATGCCGCCTTTATTATTTTTACAAATAATTCTCTCCTTGATTAGTTTCCATCCGTTGCTTCTCGTCCTGCCTTCTGGTGCTTTGGAGAATAGCTGGACCCCCCTCCTCTTCTTTGGGGCAGCCCCTCAAACACTGGAAGACTGTGATCATGTCAGAGAGATTTTCCATGCATTCTTCACCTGGTTTCATTTTTTTTTTTTTTTAAAAAAGAAAACCTTAAATTTAAAATCAAAAATTTTAAAATAAAAAATATATATATATGCAGCTTAAAAAAAAAATCTTCCAGGCCAAGCGCACCCTCTAGAGGTCGTTTGAACCTGAAACTCGGATGTTTTTTCAGCAGGCATACATCTCCTCCAACCTGCAGAGGGCAAAAAGGGAAAAAAATAAAAAAATAAAACCGGACAGAGGTTCTTTGCAATCGAAAGCTATGCCTGCATTTTTTTTTCTTCCGCTTCCTGCATCTTCCCGGATGCGAAAAAAGAAAAAAGAAGAAGAGAAATCCGTGTGAATGGCCAGCTTCAGAAGTGCAAAAAAACAATTGCGGAGTTTTTGATCCGAGGCGGTGCGTAAAAAAAAAACGCTGCAAAATTTGCAGCGATCGAAGTTGGAGGTTTGCAAAGAGGCGGCGTAAGGGAAGGTGGAAAGAAGGAAATTTGGCTTTGCCGACACCGATAATGTCATATATTTTTTGTAGGGGGGGGAAGGTTTGGATAAATTGCAAAGTGGAAAATATCCATTATTCCTCCTCCATCAGCTAAGCTCCTTTCTGCAAACGAGGGGGAATAAAACGAAGGAGGAAGCGCCAGACAAAGAGACAGACAGAGAGAGAGAGAAACCTTTGCAAAGGAAAAGACGAGAAAAACAAAAGGGAAGCTGTAGCTGGTTACTCTCGAGTAATTCCCTTTCCGCTTTTAAAGGAAGTCGTAAATCGGGTGAGCGCAGGATAAGTGCGTAAGAAGAAGAAAATAGAATTTTTATATATTAAGCTCGGTTACTCCCCACGAAGTGTTTTTAATGCTTTTTTTTAAAAAAAAAGGAATGCATAAATTAAGTTGTATTGATCAGGAAATAATAACAATAAGGATAATTAAGAATAATGCACAAAAAGGGGAAGGTAGAAGTTTTATATGTTAATAAATCAAGCAAGGAAGAAGTCCTTTGGGGCTTTTTAAGGGCATGCATACAATCAAGTCTATATTGATCAGGAAATAATATCAATAACAACAATTAACAATAATAATATCGCACAAGAAGGGAAAGGTTGAAACAGCCTGCCCAAAAGATAAAAGTTTATCCTCGTGGTCTTTTATCCTTAGAGATCTGCTACAAATTGGTTTATTTACTCTTGGAGTTGTCATTTTGTGTTATTCCTGAAAGTGGGGCTTGTTTTCTTGTGTTCTTATTTGCTTTGCTTCCTTTTCAGCCAGGCTGGTTGCCACTGTTTTAATTTATTTTATTTTTTTTGACAGTTTGCTACTTCTCAGCAGCTGCTTAAGGCCCTTTCCAAGGGGACAGTTGACATCTACAAAATAAGAGGACTGGGGTTTGTTTGTGTGCGAGTGTGACATCCCTGCCCTGCCCTGCCCTGCCTCTTAAACAGCTGGCCTTTTTTGATTAGCCTCCATCCAGCCTCCTCCTGCAGGCAAAGATAATTTATTTCGCCAGGTTTTCTTTGCCTTCTTATAGCCGCAGTGGTTATTGTGAGTTTCTTGTGGGTAGCTGGACTAGAGATCCTTTCAAAAGAGAAGAAAATATAGCCATGATTTAGCAAGGTTCAATCTCTGGGTCTCCCTGGAGAAGTTCTCGAGATGTTACAAGGTCCTTTTTCAAACTGTAGAACCTGGGGGGCTTTCCGGGGGTCTCTACACCCCTCTCTGCCTGGAATTTTGGTCTGTTCCGGCAAAACCTTTCTCACATTCTGGAGATGGCAGTTGAATGAAAGAATTCTGCCGGGGAGGGTGGGGGCAGCCAGGGGTTAGAGGGTGACTGGAAACATGAAGGCTAACGATGACCTTCTAATCTAAGCCATACATCTGGCCAACGTTTTCAGTCCAGGGTTAGGAGATGTTAGGGTCCAAAACCCATATTGAGATGATCTTGGGTTCTCCTGCGTAGACAACATCTCCAGGGCCCCTTCCAAGAATTCCTGTTGACTGGGCGGCATGAGCTCCATCCTTGGTTGAAAGGTCTTCAGGATGGACCTGAAGGAACTAGGTTGGGTTTCTGCCCCTACTTTCCTGAAATTCCATGGACAGTTTTTAATCTGCTCCCAACTTGGGAAGGTTGTTTTTACCTGCCAAAGTGAAGTGTGCAAATGGCAAAGGTTGGTTAGATCTTCTAGGAGCTGAGAGCCATCTCCTTCCTGAGGTCTCATAGGTTCTTGCCAGAAATCTCACGGGATTTCAGCATTCTTGCTTGGAATCTCATGGGAGCTAGGGAGAGACGGCCAAAATTTCACTTCAATCATAATTTAAAATTAATTTAAGGGGAAGGGGTGTGGTTCCTCCTACTCCTCCTCTTTCTCCACCCCTCCTCCTCCACCTCCTCCTCCTTCTTCATCTTCCTCCTCTCTTGCACTGGCAAAAGGTAAAAAAATGGCCCTGAAGCCAAACTTGGTTGCACCCAAGCTCTTTTCTTAGCAATGTTATAGAAATGCCTTAGTATCCTCTTCCTTTGAAAATATTTTCCCCGCAACTTCTCAGCCTTGTCTGCAGCCCTGAGGTTTCCTTGTGGTCTCCCATCCAACTTCTCTCCTGATCCAAACCGGCTTAGCTTCTGAAGCCAGCCTTGCTGAGCAAGGCTCTTGCCCTTGGTGTCCGGTTATGGTTTGAGTAGCTTTCTCCGCTGATGCCTGTTTATTTTTTGAATAAAAATCTGTATGCTTTGGTTTCAAAACAGGCCGAGGAAAAGCTGAAGTGAAGTAACCGCTGGGCTGGGCGTGAAGGGAGTCCTTTTTGGATGACTATTGAAAAGAATGCCGTTTCTTCATGGCTTCCGTAGAATCATCTTCGAATATCAGCCTTTAGTAGACGCTATCTTGGGGTGTCTGGGATTACAAGATCCCGAACATCAGGAGTTGCCAGAGAGGTAAGCAGCTTTAAGGACAAAGAATTGGAAAAGGGATTTCTTTCCACACCGTCCTAGCACAAAAGTGTTTTATTTTGCTTCTTTATTTCCCACCTTTATTAAGGAGATTGCAAAGCCTGTCTCTGCCCGTCTCTCGTATTCATCCAGTCTTTCTCTGTTTGTAAAAGCTCCAGGTCTGTGGCCGAAGACCAGAGCAAATTTCTGGTTCTCCAGAAGCTGTTGGAAAGCGAGTCCCAGTCGGCTTTTTACCAAGAAGGCGTGAGCTACACCTTGTTGAAGGTCGCTGAGCTTGGGCTGGTCCAGGCAGCTGAACTCCTTTTGCACAATGGGGCAGATATCACCTTTGAAGGTTGGGCTTCCCACCTTCCCCTCTTTTGCCTTTATTTTAGAGGAGAGGGAAGACTTCAGGAGGCATTGACCTGGGGGGGGGAGCTTCCTTTAGTTGTGCACACACCACACCCTGCCCTGCCACTAAAGGGGATTGCCATTCAAATTTGCAATCTGCTGCTTTTAAATAAGTATCGCTCATCGTTGCGTTGCCTATTTCTCACCAGTAGATGTCGCTGTGCCACCGTTTTCATTTAGGATTACACCAGAGAGAAGATCAGTGTAGTAGGTAATCCTCAGATTTAGGACTGGTCAAGTTATGACAGACAGAAACACGGATGTTAAGTGAATCGGGCTTCAGACGGTCATAAAAGGGGATCATGTGAGCCCCGGAACATTGCAACTGTCATAAATGTGATTGCCAAGCGTCTGAATTTTGATCACGTGACCGTGGGAGGATGCTGAAATGGCCATACATCACTTCTTTCAGTGCTGTTGTAGCTTTGAATGGTCACTAAATGAATGGTTATAAATCGAGGACTACCTAGAATTCACTTTTATCCATAAGCCCCGCCTTAGTTGCTATGCAGAGCTAAGAATGACAAGGCTCCGCCCCCGAGTCCTGGGTTCCAAGCTCCTACAGAGGGCCGTCTCCAGGGCAACATGGCGGCCTCCCTGCAAGGCTGGCCAGCTAGTCTTTTCAAGGATCCTTGACTGAGGGGGGTAATGGGGAGGAAGCGGGGGGCTAGCTGCTTCTTCCCCTGCTGGCTTTCCTATTGCGGTGGGACGGTGCTTAACGGTAGGCTTTTTTCTTGCCAGCTCTTACAACACCAGCCTTGCAGGGTAGGGCAGCCGATGTTTTCAGAGTTATTTTTAAGACTGAAAAAGTAGAAGTAGCCCAGGGTTGAAGTGTGGCGTCCTTATGGCTTTCTGAGCCTGGTTCTTTTCCTGCATTTTATTACCCAGCTAGATAATGCCATCAGTGCTAGAAGGGAGTAGGGTGTGTGGGGAGAAGGAGGCGGAGGCCTATGGGATCTTTAATGCTCTCTGAGCAAGGTTACATCATCAGTGCTACAAAGGAGTGGGGTTTGCTTCTAGCACTGATGGTGTTACCTAGTTAGGTCATGAAACGTCTGTAAGACCACCACCCAGCTCAGAGAGCGCCAGGGACCCCATTCAAAAAATAGCCTTTTTTTGCCTAAAAGAGAATTTGGAGATTAAAAACATCCCTAACAAGGGGAAAGAGACCCATTTGGAGTTTTGCATTTCATGTTTTCTGATGAAAAGCCCCCGCTTTCTGTAGATCCGGTCACTTACTACACAGCCTTGCACATCGCGGTGCTGCGGAACCAGCCTGACATGGTGGAGCTGCTGGTGCAACGCGGCGCAGACATCAACCGCCGAGACCGGGTTTGTAGCCAGCCACACCTGTTGTGTATGTTTGTGTTTAAAATGACAGTTCCTGGAATTTCTGATAGTTCTGAGGTTTTGCAATCCCAATGCAGACGTGGCCGAAAGGGTGGGATAAAAAGATTGGGATACTGGTTCTCTCTGTCAACACCCCTCCTTCATGTCAATGGAGGAAAAAACAAGGAATGGGGTGTGTGGGTCCCCACGGGAGGGAGAGGGGTAGAAAAAAGGGGAAATGATAGGAATAATATAACCCCTTCCTTCTCCAATTGTTCTTAGATTCATGAAAGTAGTCCTCTGGATCTAGCCAGCGAAGAGCCGGAACGCTTGCCTTGTCTGCGGCGTCTCCTAGAACTCGGGGCTGATATCAACGCTGCTGATAAACATGGTCAGTGGTTCTGCTTTTTATCTCTACTTTCATTAAACCACAGCAGTTCACCTCTAGCTTCTTCTAGAATCACTCTTTTAGAAGCCAGGGATTCGTCTCCCAGAATCCCCTACTTTAGTGGCACTGGGATACCACTAAGAATTCTGGGACTTGAAGGATGCCCTCCAGATGCCTCGCCTTTCTTTTCCTCCTTCTTCCCTCCTCTTCCGCTCTTCCTCTAATCCGTCTCTCCTTCCCTCCAGGAAAGACAGCTTTGCTGCATGCGCTGGCCAGCAGCGACGGGGTTCAAATCCACAACATAGAAAACATCCGGCTTTTGTTGGAAGGAGGCGCAGACGTCAAGGCCGCCACCAAAGACGGGGACACGGTGTTCACCTTCATCATCTTCCTGCTGGGCGAGACGGTGGGCAGCGACGCCGAAGAGGCCAAGCTGATCAACCACTTCTGCTTCCAGGCCACACGGCTGCTGATGGCCCATGGGGCCAACCCCAGCGAGTGCCCGCCTTACGAGTCCCTCACCCACCTCTGCCTCAAGAGCTTCCGGCTGCATTTCCCGCTGCTGCGCTTCCTCTTAGAATCGGGGGCCTCACCCAGCTGCTCCCTCCACGGACCTGCCTGCTGGTCCGGCTTCGACACCATCTTTGAGCGCCTCTCTTCCCATCTCAGCGAGTCGGAGGACGACAGCTTCTCCTTAGACTTGCTGCAGAAAGCCGAGATCGCCCTGGAGCTGATGATGGCCAGCGGCCCGGTGGTCAAGCTACCCAGCAACTTCCAGATTGACCTGAGCCACTGCCGGTACCACCAGGAGAAGATTCAGGCACTTTTCGGGAAGCTGAAACAGCTGGAGAACAGCCCGCCTACCTTGAAGCACCTCTGCCGAGTCTACCTGCGGCAATATCTCCAACCTTGGCCCGTGGACGTCAAGGTGAAGGCCCTCCCTCTGCCCAACTGCTTGAAGAGGTACCTCCTTATAGATCCAAGTGCCTCTCTGGAGCAGGTGTGACCTCCCCAGATGAGAATGGACCTCGGACATTTGCCATCCCGGATCTCGCCACGCTGCGCAGCCAGTGCATGAACTGCAAGATCTCCGTTCAGTGTCCAACAGCCGGTTACGTGGTGTCTGTGGCAGCCCACTTGAGTGGTGGCTACATGGGAATGAATTGGACTGGGGGGAGGTGGAATCTGCAACAGAATCACATCCTGATGGCAGCTAAGCTGGTGGAAAAGCCCTTTGTGGAGTTGTGTGCCAGCCGAGGAAGGATTCGCCCCTCTGTGCCAAAGGATTGTGAGGTTGTGTAGGCTTATGCTGAAGCCGTATTGAACACCCAGGGTTGGGACAGGAATGTCAACAGCTGATTAAAAGGATGCCCCTACGCTGTTCACCTCTATTGTTGTGCTATGAGTAAAACACCCATTCCCCTTGGTGATAAATCTATTACAGATCATTCTTGCTTACTGGTAAGTGGGAATGGGAAGTCCGTTGCTAAGCGAGTCATACCACATGACATTATCGGAGTTCACTGACTGACACTGGTAGTTCCAGAAATCCTAGCTGCCCTTGTTAGCCAAATCCCATGTGGTCACAGCGTCCCACCGTCGTGCGATCATAACTTTTGACTTCCCGCTGTCTTCCCCATTGACTTTACAACAGGCTTGCAACCAGAATTGATCACAAAATTTCTCTTGCCAAGTGAGACAGTTGTGAAGTGAGTTTTGCCCCATTTTACAAACTTTCTTGCCGCAGCTGTTAGGTGGATTGCTTAGGTTGTTAAGTGAGTGCAACTGTCATAAATTTGAACCCGTTGCCAAACATCCAAATTTTGATCACGTGGATCATGGGGATGCTGAAACAGTTGTGGGAAGCAACCACAACTTCCAAAGTTAAGCTGTTCCACTGGTTGATCGTTTTCACTGTTAGAAATTTCTCCTTAATTCTAGATTCTCTCCTTGGTTAGTTTCATCCATTGGTTCTTGTCCTGCCTTCAGGTGCTTTGGAGAGTAGGTTGACCCCCCTCTTCTTTGTGCAGCCCCTCAAATATCGGAACTCCGCTATCATATTACCCCTGGTCCTTCTCTTGACTGGACTAGATGTACCGAATTTAAGATACTCAATTCAGGATCTTCAGCCTGTAATTCTGCACTTCTTTGCACCCAAAGCTGTTGTTTCAATTGACTGTGAATTTTAGGAAAATCAAATCTTAAGAAAAAAAATTGCAAAGCAAAATGCAGCATCGTGAGCCTGCTCATTTTTTCTCTTTCCTCCCCACCCTTTTTTTTTTATTCCTTGTGTCATTTTGAATTGCTTAAAAACGCAGGATTGTTCTTAAAGCCAACTGGGAATTTTTGTGGTGGTTTTTGCTGAAACGTGGGAGGAAAAACAAAACTCAAACAAACCAGGAACATGATGGCAGATTCTAGAGATTCAATTCCGCAACTTTCCTGCACCATACAAGGTGGGTTCTTCGGATCGTTTTTCCAACCATCATAACAAACCAACATAGGAGACTACAATCACGCTTACCTTTACTTCCCCTGTCCCAGTCCATTTTACCGCCCAGGGACGCAACCGCCTTTCCCTCCCTGCTCCCCACCTCTTGAGACCCCAGCCGGTCTCCCCTCTTTTCCCTTCATCCTGGCCTGCTGGAAACCATGGTTTGCCCTGGAGCACCATGGGAACGCTTCCGGGATCTCCTTCACCTCATGGCTAATGTATAGACGTGATAGATCTCATCCGGAAAATTCTCCTGTTTCTCCTGGGCCAAAAGACTCAGCCCGGCACGGCGGATGATCTTACACACCACATCCAGATCCCGGCAGAGGCTACTGTCCACTTCATCCATGATGACCCCTTCTTGGGCCATGTTGTCCTTAATGACGATGATGCCGTTGGGACAGAGTCCTAGGCGACACCTTTGCAAGAAGCTCAGGAGGTGCTCGTCCGTCAGGTGTCCTGTTGGGAAAGGAGAAACAGGACCAGGTGAGATCTTTGCAGGATCCACGAGAGTCCCAGATAGCAAAGCGGCCAGAGGAGTTAATTGTACTTTATTGTCAGGGCTCTGTTGACGGACTCTTGCCTGTCTGACGGTGCAACTCTCCCACCGTCTCTTTTTACAGCCTGAGAAGCTAGGAAGAGTCTCTTCTGAGTCTTTCTCTATCCATTATGCAGCTCTGGGCTCTGCTCTGTCTTATCTGACTGTTCTCTAAAGCTACATTAACAGAATCTTGTATGTTATGAAAGTACAAAGTGGGAAATTTGTTCGGCCGCTCCTGCCAGCGACACTCACCGATTACCCACTGGATCCAGATGACGTCGTATGTGTTAGGCTCCGGGCCGAAGTCTTGCAACCCACAACAGAAGTAATTTCGCACCCGTTGGCCTTCCGTCCCCAGATACGTCCTGGCCTTATTCAGGAAGTCTTCCGTCACGTCTACCATGTCCACAGCTTTGAAAAGAGGCAGCAATAGTCTCTTTGTAATCCGCCCAATGCCAGCGCCACAGTCTAAGGCCAAGGCTGTGCCGGTCCTGTTTGGGCCATCCTAGACAAAAAAAAAAAAAAACAAACCCAAAGAATCCATGAGGGCTAGGAACCTGACTTTCAAAAGCAAGCAATGTGTTTTACCCTTCTTCCCCGCCAACTTGATTCAAAATGAAATCCTGCTCTCCCCCCCCCCGTTCATCTGTTTAATTCCATTGTTTATTTTTGTTTTATCCCTTTATTATTGTTTTTGTCATTTTACATTATTAGAAAGGGAGAGAGAGAGACTGAGAAAGAGAGAAAGAGAAAAAGAAAGAGTCGGGAGGAGGGCACAGGCCAGCCAGGAATCTGCCATCACCTCCTTTACCAAATCTGCTCACCCTCAAAAACCGGAGCAAAAACTTTCTGGAGCTGCTGATGTCAATACTGGAAATGTGCCCGTAGCCCCCCAACATCCCATCCACGGTGGGGGGGATGTCCTTCCAATATTTTTCGGCCTTGGAGTAGAATTCCAGCTCATCTTCCACCCCATCGCTGGCCATGGCTGCAGTTTTTGTCTTCCTCCAAAAAAGCCAGGTGGGTTTGTGACGCTGGGTGGGGTTTCCCCTTTGACAAGGGGAGAAGAAAGCAGGAGAGGGGGTTAAAAAAAAACAAAACACACCAACCCAATAATTCCAAAGCCGGATAAAAATGCAACTGCCTCCTGTTTAAGGTGTTAAAAAAAAAAAAACCTAGCCACAGGATTTGTACCCATCTCCCAAATTGTCAAATTGGGGGTCACTCTGTCAACCAAATCGTTCTGACGGTCATCAATCAGCAGAGCTGAGTTGGGGTGCCTGGTCCCCATTTGGTTTAGTTTAGGCTGAACCCCTCATTCTGGTCAGTAACTTCTACACATCTTCCTGTCTTGCAAAGCAATTTAGCTGCGTTTTCAGCCCCTGAAAAGTCCCTAATTTTATCCAATGCTTCTCCTTCCCCCCCCCCCACCTCCCTGACAGCTGATATTCAGTGATATTAAACAAAATGCAACATTCCCATGGGGTGGTTATATAGAGCTGCTGTTTTGCTCTATCCTCCCCTTCTGGCTTTCTTTGCGCATGGTAACTTTCCAAGCTGTTTTTTTTTTTAAAGGTTTTTAACTGGTTAGCAAGCCGGTGAGGTAGAAATAGCTGAAATAAATCATATGCTGCTTAATAACCACGGATTGATCTGTCCTCCAAGGAATTTAATCTGCTTTTTAAAGCCATTAGGGCTAAATGCAATTAAACAAAGCACTGCAAATCACATTTCGGCCTTTTGATCCAGATCTTTGCATAGCTCTATTAGGGAATTTCGCAGAGGGAGGGGTGAAGGGCTGGGGCTTACGGGGGTTTGGCTATTCCCAGTGTACAAAATGGACAGATGTAGAATGCAGGCTGTGTCGTAATTGCCAAACTATGCGTGACCAAGATGACGGGCCTTGGGGACTAAATATATACATTCGTTAGGGGAGACGCCATTCCGTAGTCCAATTATGGAAACAGGCTGAGGGTTAGCCAACATGCTCTCCCTATGGGCCCCTAATGAATTATCAGTCCTAACAAGGCAGGTAACACTAAACCAGGGTTTTAAATCAGGGATTGCCAAGGAGCCGTTTGTAGCCCAAGCCAAGCTACAATGGTTGGGTGTGTGTCTCCCGTAGCCTCATCTGCCTGGGTTCTGACCACCAATTAGCCCGATGTGCAAATCAAGCCAGGTTTAACCCTAGTAACTAAGTTCCTTTCTTCCATAAAACTATTTCTTCAGCAAGGCATGGCTGTGTGAATAAGCCTCCTTGGTTAATAAGCCTGGATATGCTGAACTCCTTAGGACAAGGCTTGGCAATTTCTCCCATGGTGTAATTATATAAAAGCCACGTAAACAATTGTTGTGTGAACGTGGCTTTTAAATAATTTTAAAAGTTGAGCCATCAAAGCAGGTACATTCACACAATGGAGAAATTAAAGAGATGTAATGCTTTAATGGAATGCATAAAACAGCCATTTGTTGATGGCCAAAGAATTTAGACTAGGCCCAGATCCTGTCGATTAGTCAGATCATGGTTTAACATAACCCTGGTTTAGTTCAAATCCTAACCTACCCCTTTGCTCTTTTCTCTCCAACAGAGCAAATGGTCTTGCGTGTTTAAGGTGAACTATCTCTCAGTACTAAACCTACTGTTTATTCAAACCCTGATTAAAGATCCTGGCCTAGCACTGTGTTACAAAAATAAGAGAATTAGCAAGGCTAGGAAAACGGGGCTGAGCAGCAGGTGGGTCAGCCCCAATACGGAGAAGGGGCAGCTTAAGCGCCACCTGCCTTATGAACCCAACGCAGCCATCAGGATGGAGCGCAACGAGGCTTCGGGGGCTGCGCCCGTGCCGCGTGAAGATATAACGTGTGAACCGGGTCGGGTTGCTCTGCCGCCGTGTTTGGGGGGAAGGGGCGACGTGGGGGGAGGGGTGCAGGGCAAGGCAAGGCAGACAGCGATCCCGATGAGGGGCTGGAGGGAAGGGGTTAACCCAGGCGCGCCCAACTCCTGCCAGCAGTGTGGACTCGGATTCCTCCAACGGGCGCAGGGCTTCAGCTGGACCCCAATTTAGAAGCGTAAAGGGGGAGGGGAGGGGAGAAGAGGGGGTGCTAGGCTGCGGAGGGGCCGCTTTCCTTCCCCTGCAGGACAACGGAGGAGACCCCCTGCGCCCCCTCCCAGCGCCAGCCACGTGGAGAGCCGCACGGGGGCTCGCCTGCTCCGGAGTCGCTCCGCTTTGCCTACCGCCTCTTCCCGGTGGGAACTCACCGCCGGGAGAGCGGCCGGGGCGGCTGCGGGAAGCACGTCCGCTCCTCCGCGCTGCCCTGGCCGCTTGGCAAGGCACCTCCTCCGGCTGACGCTCCGCCCGCGGGCACCTCTCCACTCCGGCGCGCCTCGCCAGTGCGCATTGGGCCGGCCAGTCTCCTCCTCCGTGGCACGCAATTTCCTTCGCTGCCCGGGCGGAGGAGGAGGAGGAGGAGGAGGAAGGGAGCCACAGGGCGCAGGGATCGCGGCTGGCAGTACGCAACAGCCCCGGCATCACAAAGGGCTGCGCCACCGGCCAGCCCAGAGGGCGCTCAGAGCGCGCTGGGGCGCTCCGGGAAGCGCATCCCCCGGCTGAGCGAGGCAGGAAGGCCCGGGTCCCCTTCGTCCAAGCGCGGGGTGCCAAGAAGGCCTCCCCCGGTTTGGGCATCGGCTGGCTTGGAGCGCCTCGTTCGGAAACCTGGGCTTAGCGCAGGCTGGAGGGTGCACATCTGTAACGATGCAGGACAGGACAAACCAGAATGGCTACAGGTCTCCTGCTTGAGCAGGGGGGTTAGACTAGGTGGCCTCTAATGTCCCCTTCCAACTCTAATTCTGAATCAGGACGGTGAGGGAGCCTGGAGGGGGGTCTTCCTTTAGCTAACCTGCTAGATAAAAGGAGGTTTTGACCTATAAATGGAATAATAAATTAAAACACAGCCCCCCAGAAAAGAACAAGTGGTTCTGGACTTCTGGCCACAACTGAGAGCAGATACAGGTGAATTGGTCAAGTAGATATTTTAGAATAGAATAGAGCTGGAAGGGACCTTGGAGATCTTCTAGTCCAGTCCCCTGCTCAGGCAGGAGAAGTTTGAAATTATCTAACAAAAAGTGTTGCAAGTGAATCAGGCAAATATTTATGAAAATAAAAATTGTTGCAAATGAGCCATGCAAATATTTATTAAAATAAAAATTGTTGCAAGTGAATTGCAAGTATTTATGCAAATAAAAATTGTCACAAGTGAAATGTAAATATTTATGAAACAAAAATTGTTGCAAGTGAGCCAGGCAAATATTTATAAAAACAAAAATTGTGCAAATGAATTAAGCAAATGTTTTTGAAACAAAAAAAAAAAAGATACAGTACGTCCTCAAATATACCAGTGCTCAAGAAATCAGGAAAAAAAATAGAATAAGAAACTATATTAACTAAAAATGTTAACATAGAACAGTCTTTCTCAAACTTTGCCTCTTTAAGACATGTGGACTCCAACTCCCAGAATTCCTCATTTCCCCCCTCCTATATAGAAAAGAAGTCCACCCACACTTGCTGGGGTATTTGGGAGTTGAAGTCCACATGTCTTAAAGTTGCCACGTTTGAGAAACTGATAGAAAACTAGCTCAGCCTTTAAATGTTATTAAATCCAGAAGAGAGGGATTTTTTTTAAGCTTAGCACTTGCTGTGAGACCAGCCCAGGACTGTTTGATGGTTTACAGTAGTCTGTTTGACAAACACAAGATAATTCAGAACCCAGGTCCTGGGGACCGTCTGAAGGCAGCGTCACAAAAGGACTACTGAACAAGCTTGGGGTTTAAACAGAATTACAGAATAAAGAGTTGGAAGGGATTCTGGAGGTCTTCTAGTCCAACCTATACCATTCCAGACAAATGTCTGTCCATTAAAGACCTCCAGTGATGCAAACAGAGGCAAAAGGAAACTAATTTAGCCTGTGGTGGGAAAGGCATTGGACTAGCAACAAAGGGAGCCCGAGTTCTAATTCTGCTTTAGGCACAAAGCTAGGCTGGGTGACTATGGCCAGTCCCTCCCTCTCAGCCCAACCCATCTTCAGGGTTGTGGGATGGGGAAAATAGGAGGAAACACCTAGCACCTTCACTTGTAAAAGGAGGAGGATATATATGAGCTGTGATGGCATAGTGATTAGCAGACTAATTCTGCCCACTGCCGGCAGTTCGATCCTGACCAGCTCAGCCTCCTGTCCTTGCAAGGTGGATAAGATAAGATAAGGCTCTGTAAAACGCTTAGAGAGGGCTAGGAAGAGGTATGTACGTCTGAGTGCTATTGCTATCAATTGTATAAACAGAGTATGGGCCACACAATCATAATCACAGCAGTGTTGAAGAATTGTCCATCACAAGGAAGACCAGGAATGTCATTGACTACATGTGGACCAAAATGGCTGTCTGAAAGACAGCCTTCCTGGGATCTGGGGAAGAGGACCTGTTTGCAGTCGAAATAACAGGAAATAGAAGTATTTTTACCTTTATATTACATTAATAAGGGAAGGTACAGGCTGTTGCTGCAGAATTCAGTTGGCAAAATACCGGTAATGGAACTTACCAGTAATGATGCTAGCCAATCAAAAGGAAGAGAGGTGGGTGGCCAAGATGGAGGTTATTGGGTGCTCGATAGATTTGGGGATTCTGGTGGGGAGGGGGGAACCCTCCAAGCCCAGGGTTGGTGGCCCCAGGATGGTAGACCTCAACTCCCAGAATCCTACCATGCTGGCTAGGGAATTCTGGGGGTTCAAGTCCGCGCCTCTTAAAGTTGCCAATCTGGAGAGAGGGAAAAGCACTGCTTTTGAGTTAGGGAGCTAATTTGGTCTTTCCAGCACCAGACTAGAAAGCAGGAGATCCTGAGTTCAAGTGCTGCCTTAGCCATGAAAGCTGGCCAGGTGACTTTAGGCCAATCACCAAGAGACGACGACGAGTTCAACTCTATCTATCAAGACAGTTGTAGCATCCTGCGGTCTCATTTAAGGGGGAAAGCTGGATTCACTTGAAGACTGTGATTACTTTAACATCTGCAGGGATTTGCTTAACAATCAGGGTCATAAATAGCGGTTATAAAATCTGGCACAGCTCACTTAACAGCTACCTTGCTAAGCAACGGAAATTGTGGTCATAAGTCAAGGATGACTCGTAATTTATTGTGTGAACCCAGCCAAGCAATTGCTTGCGAGTTTTGGTAAACTGCAGAACTCGTGGATCATGCCATATCGCCCATTGGCCACAAGGGGGGAGTATTGCAATGGTTTTGGCTGGGCTTGCTTTCGCCTGGAATTCTGTAATTAAATTCAACTTTGGGCTTTTCTTTGTTAAGCGATGGCAACCTCTTCTTCCCATTTCTCCAGCTTCCTTCACTGTCCGTTGGCTGCGGGAAGAAACTGTCCTTGGCCAGGGCTGTCTCGAGAACCTGGGGAGGCCTGCAAGGCGCCTCTTTCCAGCCCCATCTCAATTCCAGGCAACACAAGGGAGCCAGCTAGGGTGGAAGGAAGGAAGGAATAAAACTCCTGGCAGCTCCTTGACGCTGTGTCTGGCTTCACACAACACACAAAAGGTGGGCTGGGTTGGGTCTCTGGCGTAAGCATGCCTTGGGCAAAGTTCTCCAACTTTGGCCGATGAAGCTGAAAGCTAATACAATCCTTTGGTTGTATAAATTAGAGGCATAGAAAATCACGTGAAGTATTAGTACCGCTTTAGTAAGGCCACACCTGCAATACTGCATCCAGTTTTGTCACCACATTACAAAAATGGTGTTGAGACTTTGGAAAAAGTGCAAAGAAGGGCAACTAAGACGATTAAGGGCCTGGAGACACAAACATACAAAGGACAGTTGCAGGAATTGGGTATGGCCAGTCTAGAGAAAAGAAGGACTAGGGGAGACATGATAGCATCTTCCAGTATTTGAGGGGCTGCCACAAAGAAGAGGAGGGGGTCAACCTATTCTCCAAAGCACCTGAAGGCAAGAGGAGAAAGAGCGGGTGGAAACTCATCAAGGAGAGAAGCAACCTGGAACTAAGGAGAAGCTTCCTGACTGAACAATTAACCAGTGGAACAGCCTGCCTCCAGAAGTTGGGGTGCTTCATCGCTGGAGGTTTTTAAGCAAAGACAGGACAGCCACCTGTCTGAAATGGTGTAGGGTCTTCTGTTTGAGCAGGGGGTCAGACTAGAAGACCTGCAAGATCCCTTCCAGCTATATGGTTCAGCCAAATGTTCTACACCCATTTTCACTATTCAGGTGAAAGAGGAAAGAAAGGGGGGGGGAGGAGAGAGAGGCAGGGAGGAAGGAGAGAGAAAAGAAGGAAAGACAAACGGTGGTATTAAGACATTAATTCTCAAGAATCCTAGACGGGTGTTTCATTTAAAAGTAGCCCTTGACTTACAAGAGTTCATTTAGTGACCGTTCAAAGTTACAACGGCACTGAAAAAAGCGACTTATGACTGTTTTCCATCCCCGTGGTCACATGATCAAAATTCAGACACTTGGCAACCGGCTCACATTTATGACGGTCACGTGACCCCCTTTTGCAACCTTCTAGCAAGCCGAGTCTGTGGAAGAAGCCAGGTTCGCTTAACCACAGTTTGATTAATTGAACAACTGCAGTGAGTCACGTAACAACTGGGGCAAGAAAAGCCACAAAACAGGGCAAACTCAACTTTGACAAATGTTTCACTTAGCAACATAAATTTTGGGCTCCATTGTGGCTGTAACTTGAGGACCAGCTGTTTTGACCGAATGTATGTAGCCCTCAATCTCCCTTGCATTTAGTCAGCACCAGGAGTTTCCCTCGCCTGGGGGAGTGGGAGGATAGATGACCTTTGCCCTGCCTTCCTGCTCTCTGGCCTTCTTCCCACCATATGCTTGACCCCATCCTCAAATTCACTTCTTCTCCAAAGCCCCCAAACCCTCCATCCCCGACCCCTTTTTTCCTGTGCCCCCCTCCCCAGCCAAAGCCAACAGGCTGGGCAAAACCTGAACCACCAAATATAAAAATAAAAACAATAATACTATATTGACTACCCCCCCCCCCAGCTGTCCCCTTCCACCCTCTGCTCTTTCACAGGCTCTTTTGACTGCCAGCCTGTGAATCCTGCTCTGCTTTCTCTCCGAGACCCCTGGGCCATCCATGCCGTGTTGTAATTCGCTTCCCTTCCGCCCTTCCCTTCTTCACACTGCATAGAGGAGCCAGCAAGACCGAATCCTTGTGCTAAAACCTGTAGCATCAACTATTCTGATCAGGCTGTATCTTTGAGAAGAAAACAACAACAAAGTTTGTGTGTGCTTGTGTATCTCTGTGTGTGTTTTTTGGGGGGGAGGGGGGAGGACCCAGCATCCAGAAGCTAAAGGACTGTCCCCAAATTAAATCTAGGGTGGAGTGGG